GATGGATGGATGGATGGAAGAAACATTCAGGTATATCCCTCATCCTCAGACAACTGAAGACGAAATAAGAGCTATAAGGGAAAGAAAGGAAAACTGGGGAGAATTATCAGGGCCTGCCCACAAGAAATTGAAGAATAATGGACTGGGTAAACTGTCATTTGTCTACATCCAACATATGGTCCTGAGGTAAAAATTTCCCAAATCTGTGAATACCCTCTAAAGTGACCATTGATTTAAACATTTAGAAGATCAGAACTAGGACATGTGTTTTGGTGAAAGTCTTTACAAGAGATCGTATTTAGTTTACAGTTTTAGCTTCTGCCCATGTGTCAAGATTTGGTCTTTGCACAAAATTAAAGGTCTGGTAAAGCCAGTTCTTTCAGATTCCAGCAGTGGAAAAAGTATTCAAAACCTTAATTTAAGTAGAAGTACAAAAGTCTGTACAAAATCTCATGTCAAGCCATTTAATAGTTAAGATATTTTCAGTCTAAATTGCTGGACCGACAGACAGACACAGCACATCTAAACCTGTATGATCAACTTGAACAATATTTAGTTACAGGTGTTGCAGCCTTGCACACCCACTGCACTCAGATGTTTTTTTGATTAGGCCTGCTCAGGTTATGCTGAGATTCTTTGAGGTCCCCGGTTTCCATGTTTCAACCTTTACTGATGGGTCTGTGAGACTTGAAGGCTTCCTCTGTTTCATAAGCTTCTAGAATTTTAATGCAGCAGTGACATCCACTGGTTTCTAAGCTGTACAGCAGGCTTTCATACCTGGAAACCACTCTTGGCCTTTGCATGTGCAGTACTGCTTATGACATGAAATGGCCTCTTATATACCCGGGAATACAATTAAGCTTAAGCATGTCAAATAGGACATAAAGTGTTATGTAATCAACTGCATTTTTTTTGTCGTGTTCATTGTATTCTTCAGGTAATATACCTTTAGTGGTACCAGGCATTAAAATGAACAAGAAATTGAAGAAAACAAGAGTGGTGTAATGATTTTCCATGACTGTACATTCTCAATGATTACGATCTGCACCTGGAAAAGTCTCTGTTGAAAGTCTGAAGAGCTCAGTAGAGAAGTGGAGAAACAGATTTACACAAGTCAGAAATCTTAGGTCAAAAAAATCTGAGATCTCAACATCTGTTCTCAGTACACACTCCACATAAATACCATAAAATGTCATGAATGTAGAATGCATTGTTCTGCAGCTGAGAAAAAAAAATGGACCCTGTACCTACAACAACGTGAATGACATGTTACCCGATTACATTTTGGCTGAGCAGTGTGGCTTTTATTCACATAACTTGGCTGAAACACAACCTCTCCTATCAAGTTTATCAACTGATTCTCCCCGACAGTGACAGATGTTTACTGGGAAAAATAATGACAGATTATAAATGAAGCCTTTGTAATGTCAGACTAATGAGAGAAACATTGTTAGTGAGTCCAATACGAGGTCCTTAACAAAGGTAAATATAATACAATCTCACCACAGTTGAAAAATGCTTTATTGTTTCTATTAAAACATAAATATGTTGAACGTAATTCCACATATGCAGGAATATATGTTTGGATGTTCTCTGCTGCGCATGTGTCATAATCAGTATATTCCATAGGTGTGCTCCTTCCCGTCTCTGTATCTGTCCAGGTAGCGTAGGGGCTGTCGATGGGGGTATTTGACCTGTGGAGGGTGGTATACCGGAGGCCTGATGAACTCGAACACCGGCTCCTTCATGTCTGCAGGGAGAACATGCAGACCGGTTTTATTATCAGCAGACAGCAGCGATTGTCAATAAAAAACGCTGTCCTAACTTCAATTCATATTTTCTGTCATGTCACAAGCCCAAACTTGCGCTGTGTGAGGACTAGCGTGACTTACTGAGTGTGTTGTGAAATGTGTCGGTGACAGATTCATCCCACTGGCTCTGAAAGAAAGCCAGGCCCACCGGCGTCATGCTGTCCTGGTGTTTTCTGTAGAAATCCACTGTTTTGAAGGTACGATCCGCCAGGGAATGGCTGTGAAATAGAGGCAACACATGCTTAGCGAATCTAGCTCCATCAGCATAAACCAACACAGGGGGTAATGTTTCCCTCTCATGCGGGTCCAGTACCGTTACAGTTTGATATCAGCTTTGCAGTAAAGACTCTGCAGTCCAATAATTAACACCTTTTATCAATTTGTTTATTCTCTTGTGGTCAGAACCCCAGCCTATCTAATGCTAAGCTAAGCAGTACACAAATAATACCAGGAGCATCAGCTTCCTATCTGCAGGAATGGAATGTAGATAAGTACATTTACTCATACTGTATATTGAGTTATTTGTACTGTACTATACTACGCTGCACTTCTTCACTACAGTTGAGAGGAGAATCTTCTATTCTCTACTTTATTCCATTCAATTGGCAGCATTAATTACTGGTTATATTTTAGTTTAAAATTTACATTAACAACATTACTTTATAAAATATGTGGCACTGTTAAAGATGAAACAAGTGGCTCCAACATTTTTGGCTAACAATAAAACAGCATTACATTTAGCTTCCTTCTCACATTTCAGATATTTGAGCTCAAAGTCGTCCTGTTGCAACTCTTTGAGGCCTAAAGCAGCAAAACTCTTCTGTTAAAAAAATAAAAATAAAAATAGATTTGAGAGATCTGAGAAAGGTCTGAAAAATACATCCAAATCTGACAGCAGTTGTTTCTTCCAGATTCCTACACCACCCTATTAATTATCTGTTGCAACTTCTCTAATCACTTCACACCTCGCTATATTATCGTAGTGCTGTTGTGACACTATGTGAGAAAAGACAAGTGTCAAATTTCACCTGTCAGACCCGTTGTCGCCATTATCAGTCTCTACTTGTCACTGGTATTTTGTCAATGAGTCGCCTGAAGGCAGCTGATTTATCTGTTGACACAGGCTGCGTCTCTTTGGCAACATTTATCAACCAGTCTGCTTAGTTCTGGCTGGCTGACAGACAGCGCAGATGAACTCCTGGGTTTAAAAATCAAGCCTTGTAACTCCTCAGTCTGCATCCCAAGAACTGGGGTCTTTGGCGATTAGATTTGAAGAAGGGTGTTGTTTAACTAGGGGTCTCCAAAGATTTAGAAGTACTTCTTTTGATGTTCATTAAATTCTAACCTTGTCACATAGACTACAACTGGTGGGTATATTTTTGTCCTTAATCTAAAGATGGAACAATAATGTGCACACTTCCAAGACAGTAAGCTCACATTGCTGGACTTGACTGATTCACTGCATTACTATGAGGTTGGATAATAATCAGGAAACTAAGAGAGCAGGATAAATTATCCGCTATGATCTGCAGTGGTGCATTAAATATTTTCACACAAGACTAGAGTAACGAGCAACAAGCCCAATTAAACTTGGGTAACTGCAATTTCTTTAGTTCATTTTAAAAAGTAACAACAACAATAATAACTACTTGTTACCACTGAAAGCATCAGTTTTGCACTTCCAACACTGCCAGAAGTTAAAGTAGCTCGATCTCAACCAGCTCCAGCAGCAATTTAATTTAATTTCTTTTTTTAATGTCAGTCACAGGCTTATATACTTACTTTTACAAGTAGCAATAATCTGATTTTAAATGCTGCATACTTTTACTTAAGTCAAGAACCGGAGGCAGTAGCAAGAGATTAGTTGCACTAAACATTTACACACCAACAGTCAGGTGTACCTGCTAACTGAGCTAACTGTCAAAGCTAACATTAGCGTGCTAATATGTGAAAACATTTAGAGTAAAAAGAGTAAAATATCTAATGTGGATGATACTTATTCTCACGCTACTAAATAGGGTGCAAATTTTATGGTTTTAAGTTTTTTCACAAATTTAAAATTAAGTTAGCTTAGCTTACTCAGATATATTCACACTGTTTATAAACTGAATTAGTTTTTTCCAACTCTGAGACACATTTAATATGTTACTCCTTGTGTGCAGACATAAAAAATGAAATACCCACATTTAAAAAGATTTATCATTTGTGCCTTTAAAACTGTACTTAATAGAAGTTATGCTATTTTGTAATGCTACAGTTACTTCCTGTTTTCACAGCTGATTCATACATTGTGACCAGCTAAAGAGAAGTTAGGAGGGATTTTGTGTTAAAGCTACAACCTAATCCAGCCAGAGTTCCTTCTCCAGGTCTACAGTCGTCCTCAAATGTATTCATATCCTTCCATTAAAGAAAAAGCAAAAGTCACAATAGTCACTCAAACAACTAGAAACTGAAAAAAGTAATAATAAATAAAAAATTGCTAAATGATAATTTAGTGAAATAAGACATTGCTTTTGAATTGTGGTTGAAAAGAATTATTAGAAAAATAAATAGATAAATAAATAAATAACTCTCCTGGACAAAGTAGAGCACTTTGCTGATGAGCAGTGGCCAAAATCCAAATACCTGTCAACAGGTGCAGAAGTCTGATGGAGAATTACAGAAAACATTTGACTGCAGTGATTGGCTCACAGGGTTGTTCAACACAATATTAGTGTATGGGTCCCATCATGCTTGTTTGCTTGTTTTTGTTGTTGTTTTAATATTTCTGTTGAACCACAATTCAAAAGTAATGTCATGACTTTTATTCAATTTTCATTATTTATTGTTACTTTTGTCAAGTTGAACTTATTTCAGTGGCAGCTGTAGCTGTTTTTTTCCATCTGTAAAAGGGAGGGTATGAATACATTTGAAGATGACTGTACCAGACTGTATGTCATATGAATGTGTTGCTCACCATGGTGACGGCCTGAGATCTTCCTGGAAATTGACGTGTCCGTCCTGCTTGAAGAGCACGTAAATGTAGCGGTGGTAGCCGGTTCCTCTGGCGGGAAAGGGAGGCAGGTAGTGACACAGCTCCTCTCCAGCCTGCACGGCTCCACCTGGTATGTTCCCTCTGCAGACACACGACATTCAGAGCTCTAGACACTCCCACTGTGTAACAAATGTGTTTTATTTTGCACTCATAATTGCATGTTTTGTCATGTGTTGTTTACTGAGTTTATCCTTTAATAAGTTATGTATTTTATTTGAGAGTTCAGTCTCAAGACATGAAAAACAAATGAAAATTCTAGTTTACAAGCTACAAGATTATGTTGCTTAATCAATGTAAGATGTTCCAACCTCAAGAAATATTCTTAAAATTACAATAACTTCAGACATGTTTTACAACATACAAAAATATTACATCTTAATTAGTTTGATATATAATTTCTGTACAAATTAAATTCGGTAATGGTTTTATATTCATAAAATGTTAATATTTTTTCATTTTATTTGCCATACATGACAGTGGCAGTAAATTCTGTGGGTTTTGGATCAGTAAAGTTGTTGTGGATGTGGAAAATTTTGTAATGTTTTGACATTTTATCAGCAATAGTAATTTACAGTAGCAAATATATGAGATTATTTTTCATTTCAAAAGTTCAACTGCTGGCCACAAGATGTCTCCCCTTTCACTGAAAACTAAATTCATGCTGGCTACAGACTTGTTACATTTTAAACCACAACTTGCGACGTCACAATTGCTGCTTGTTCAAATGTTTTATACTCAGATCACAAATACATCATTCTGCACTTTGAAGCTCAAACAGCCAGATGAAGATACAATAAGCACATTTGCAGTGGAAGGGGACTTTAATTTTTACTGAAAATTCTTTTACTTTGAGAAATTACCAAACTAAACTGACGGCAACTATAATTTATGTTTGTCATTTGAGTTTCAGGCCAATTAAATCATTTCTTTGCACCTTCAAACCTCCCTATGAATGCAACATGCTCAACATGTTTAGGTTTTAAGCTGATTGAAGCAGGCTTGAAGTACTCACACTAGCCAGTGGACGTATTCTGCCTCATTATCCAGAAGATGCTCATCTGAAAAAGATGACACAGCATTTATTGAAACGATGTGTATATGCAGAGAAGCCACGAGTTACTTGTGATGATTCACTTATCCAGAGCTTTGTGAGGGCTGATGCCGACCTGGACAGGTGAGCAGGAGGGTCCACAGGGAGCCCTCCTCTGCATCGAAGCTGATCTGAGGGGCAGACGCTGCCTGGAGAGAAGAACAGCAAGGAGAAGACAAAAAACACCGTCAAAGAGGATTTATAAAGGCGGGTTGAGGGCAAAAAAGCAATTCTTCTGTTGCTTTCACGCACTTCAGTAGGTGTCAGCTGATTCCCAAAATACAATTGACCGCTGTTGTCCCGGCTGTAGTGGATGCTGAGTATGACTTGAGGTACAAAATAAGCCATGGGGAAGAGATCTCTGAAGACCCCGTAGTGGTCTGCCAGCCTCTTGATGTGAAGCGGACCACCGGTGTTCTCCCAGGTTTTCTGCACTTGATCCAAAGAGATCTTAACTGGTAGAGGGGAAAAAAAGAAAAACGTCACGACAATCCTCAATTAGGAACTCAAGTAAGTTTTAGAATCAGTGCTGGTGAACTTACAAGTGCGCAGACGGGAAGTTCTCTCCAGCTCAGCGTTCTTCTTGTTGTCCTTTAACAACTGATTCCTCTCCTTCACTTCTTTGGTGCTGCGGGGTCGACAGTACGGCAGTCCGACATCCACTCGCTCAGCGCCTTCACACACAGCAAAGCTCCTTGAAGCCGCGAGCTCACAGAATTCTTATTTACCGTAGAAAAAAGTGCTCATTGCCACAAGACGACACCCTTTTTTAATTTCTCACCATGCTCCGGATCAGCTTGTTCCACGTAGCCCCTGTAAGTCTTCCACCACACAGGTTTGTTCTTTGCCTCCCCGGCTTGTCTGAAGTAACGATTGTAGCTGCGGTACCTCTCTAATGACCGCAGTCTCTTGGTGTTAATATCCTCATTTGGCATTGGACCCAGAGGGGGTGTCTGTTTGCAGAGGAATGCTTGTGGGGGGAAAACAAAAGCAAACAAACGTTTATCATGTTGTCTGTTTAATCCTGCATTTACACTGTGTATTCAGGCTGTTACATTTATTTAGGAAACGCGCATTCACTGACTAATTTCTCTTACATTTAAGGTTCTAATTTCATAATTTGACCTGTTTATTTACATTTTCAGTGTTATATTTGCACATGTTTGTGTTTGTATCTTCAGCTGTGGATCACATTTTGCTAATATTTACTGTACTGTTTGCTGAAATTTGTCAGATATTGCTGTCATCAATCCTCTCAGGATGGGCTAACAAAGAGATATCCTCTGTGCAAGCAAAACTCTTTTAGAAGATTTGACCATTTTACTCAAAGAATCAATGTGGTTGACGAGGTTAGACATATTTACTCTGTTAATGTCAGCATATTTGTAGCTTAGCCCAAAATTATTCATCCCCATCTCAAATTTTTTTCTTATACTATTCTTTTATAGGTTTTTCCAGCTCAAGGCTTCCTTGCCATCACTCTGGTCATTCCAATATTTTCCAACATGTCTTGACCACTTTGTATGTTTCAGATCAAATGCTGCCCAACAACAAGTTTTTCCGCAAACACTCTGATGTTTTTCCTCCACAAACTTAATATATCTGTTAAAAAAAAAAGCACCCCCAAAGCATTACATTGCCACTTTTGGGCTTGAGGTTAAATGTGTTTTCTTTTTTTTGCCAATTGAAAGATACATACTTGTGTCCAAACAACTCTATTTTTTCATCTCATTCAATCCTAGCATTGACTACCAAAAGCTTTCTTCCATATCAGCAATCAGCCTTGTTCGGTGTCTGCTGGATTCAACAATAACCTTGACCATTTTTGCAGAGTCACTTTTCGCTTCCTACCAAATACTTTGAGATATTTCGCAGTGTGAAATTCCTTGTACTTTTTGACTATGCTTTGCGCTGACACACTTAAAAGGCACTTGAAAACACCTGGGTATGACTTTACACATTTTGCAAGAATCAAGTCTGTCTCAGCGATGGACCTTATGAACACGCTCTGTTTGGTTTAAGCCATGATTTGTAGCTGATTAAAGGGTTGAATGCTCCAGCACATAGTAGAAATTTCCAGGATCCTTTGGAGTGATGCTGAAGCTTGCACTGTCTCCAAAATGTGCAACAATTCCAGTGGGTATGAATAATTTTGGACATGACATTTGGAATAAAAAATGTAAAACAACCAAAATGGTCTTATTTTATTTTGCCATTTCCAGTCTGAAAACACTTGTTGGTCAAAAAAAGAAAGACTTAATGTCATAATTTGGCATGGCTATGAATAATTTGGTGCTTATCTGTGTCAAAGCACACCCTGGTGCGTCAGACAGAACCTGGTCCACTTTTCATCAACGATTACGATTCTCGAGCTGAGTCTTGCTAATGACATATGTTCAACTTGTCATAACACTTTTAATGACTACATTGGCCTGTGGAGTTCGGTGATGTTTGTCTCCACAGAGGACAGCATGTCTCTGAGCTCTGCCTCTAGCTAATACAACCAGACACTGTCCTGTACAAGAAGCAAGACAAGGGTCCTCTAAATGTAAACAGATTATAAATAAGCAATATTCATACAATACCTGTTGTGACAAACGTCCTCGCATTATTGACCCCTAAATCTGTCCCATTCCGCAAGGCAGCCACACAAACCGTGCGCAGCGCCATCTTGGAATGAGCTCTTCCCCCTTGTTTCAGGAGGTACGGTGGCCGAGAGGAGGAAAAAAAACGGAATGTGCACTTTTAAACCGCTTGTGTTCCTGTAGATGTGCAAAAATTAAAAATGATTCTGTGTGCTATAATCTTTAAAATTCCACCCTCGTGAATTGCATCAAGTCATTTAATACCATATCAAGCACAATGTTAGAGCCTGTTGTCAGTCTTTGGCAGGTGACAAATTGGATAATATAAGTGGAAATGGTCCCTTCATGCTGTTTAAATCACTAAAAACAACTGGATTGGTTATAACCTAGAGGACAGAACAGGTAGAATAATGCAAAAACATAAGAATAATTGCAAAGAAATAATTTCTTTTTGTGTGTTTGATATAGATGAAAGCAGCTGTAGACATTTAGAAACCGGGAGGTGCAGTTTTAACAAGCACTTTTTGGCACAACACACTCAAACACCAACAGAAATAAGATTACAGACTTCTGGCTGTATTGATAAGTCATACTTTTAAAAGACATTTCAGTGCACCTTCTTGTAATACTCTCATGTAGCAAATGAGTCTGTATCTGTATTTTCACTACAAGTATTACTTTTTCCTTTTTTTTTTTTTTTTTAAGTCTTTGACTGTTAAAATTACACTATTTTTTTTCAATAGTTAATTCACATGTTTATTGTTTCTTTGTTGTTGTTTTTTAGCCCAAGCTGTGACTAATGTCCACAATAATATATATATATAATTGTTTTACATATATTTGCCATCATCGTCACAATTTGCGAAAGTTAGAACACTTTTCAGCGTATTTTTCAGCATCGTTTCTGCCAGATTTTTACTGCTCTTATAGGGATTTATTTTCTTTTCTTTTCTTTTTTTAGTGTATATTGTATTCATTTCTATAGTAATGGTCCTGTCTCGCTCTGTCCATTGTGTTTCTAAACTTCTCCGCGGTACGTGAACGCACCATTTTTGCGTTTGTCGTCATCAGGGAAGCTTCACTGACGGTTTTGTGTTTTCAGTCAGATGCTGTGCACGAATGTGTCCGTTCAAGTGGTGAGAATTAATATTGTGTCATTGTTTGGTTACACGTAGGTGGCGAGTGTGTACGTGAGCTCTGGTTTGAAGTTAAATTGTTGGTCTGTTTTAATATTTTGCCCAGTATTGGCTCCCAGGAGTCCTAGCTAACGTGAAATGATTTGAGTGTATGCTAACGCTAGCTAACGTTAGCCTCTCCTTCCACTTGGCTGAGTAAATGTGTGGTAGCTAACGTTACCATTTGGACTGAGCTTTGTTCTCTGCTTGACTGTAGACCTGCTGTCTCTCAGTCTGATAAATGGCACTATAAAAAAAAACAACACATTTTTAAAAGGCCATCTGCCCTCCTGAGAAACAGTATTTTTATTAAATACTTAGTTATGTCTGTAGTCATTCTATAAAACTGTTACCTTGATGTCTGTCACACCATGACCAATATCTTGTTTGTTTTTTCCTTTTTATTTCACAGAGATGTCTGCTCTTTCTTCAGACATGGAGGCTCAGAATTCAAACCTAACCTGTGTCATATGCCTGGATCGTTTCCGCATCCCTGTCACCATCCCCTGCGGTCACACCTTCTGTAAAAACTGCATCACCATTCACTGGGACACCAAGAGCAAGTCAGACATTGGCCCTCAGTGCCCCATCTGCAACGAGGAGTTCCCCACCAGGCCCATTCTCAAGCGAAACGTGTCCCTATCGGTCCTGACCGAGGCTGCCAACAGCACCAACCCCTCCTGCAGAGAGTCGCTCATGAGGGGAAGTGAAGGGGCCAGAGCCATGCTGCTGTGTGATCGTCATAAAAAGCCTCTGGTTTATTACTGCAGGCAGGACAAAATGTCTGTGTGCTGCGAATGTGGTATCTCAGAGTGTGTGAACCATGAAATGGTCATGTTGGAGGCAGAAAGGGAAAATCAAGAGGTAAATGAACACATTGCCTTCACAGGTGCTTAACTGGGATGTAACATGGATTGTTACACCAGCTGGAACACTGTCCAGCATCAAATGATACATGATTGTGACTATACAAAGCCGACTGTCTCACTGTGATGTGTTTTTTGTTTTTTTACAGCTGCTGCTGGAAAGGAAGAGTAAGGAGGTGGACAAACTCATTGAAGAAACACAGAAAAGCATAAATGACTTGGCCGAGAATATCAATCAAGCTAAGGTAAACGCTCAAGCCTATTTGAAAGTATCAGAAAGACTTCAGAGAAAAAGTCAGCAAATTGTAGAAACCTTAAATTGGTCTTAAATAGGATAGGAGACACTATTAACTGTGTATTCACAAATTCACCAGTGCTGAGATGTTGAGATGTTAAGGTACCTGGGCACTGAGATCAACCACCAGCTGTCCTGCACACATCATGTGGACAGGGTCTACAAAAAGGCCCAACAGCACAGGTTTCATCTGAGGCCAAAAGGTCTTAATACTAGACAGGATGTTCTAACAGCAGTATACTGGTCACCGTGTGAATCAATCCTCACAGTCAACATATCATCAAGGTGCAGCTTCCTCACAGTGAAAACCAAGAAAAACTTCACTGCAGTCTTTAAACATGCAACCAAAAACACTCAAACCCAACTCTGACACCTTCACAATCTGGCAGTGAAAAAGAAAGGCAGACTCCATCACTAAGGATGCTTCACGCTGCTTTCATCTTTGTGGTTCAGCTGCTCCCTTTAGGTAGCTGTTACAGAGTATCTCTGGCTAAAAGGAGGAATTTAAAAATATTCCCTCTGCAATACTAATTTAAAAGAAGACCAAATAGACTGTCACTACTTTTTGTGCTAGCTTTTATGGGTGTATGTTTATTGCTGTATGTGAGCTCTAAATCGACTGTTTTCTATCATTGTGTGTATTTATGTATATATGTACGAGGTTTGTCAGAAAAGTTTCAGGACTGGTGTCACAAAAGATATATTTCTAATCTAAACTAGAACTGTCAGATGAACAGAGCATTGTGAGCAGGCGCGTTGTCATGGTGAAGCAGCCACGACTTGTCCTACCACAACTCTCGCCTCTTCTAACGCACTGAATGAAGCAAATGCCACAGGATCTCTTTGTAGACGTGTTGGTTGATCGTCTGACAGGAAAAACTTGCAGTTTGTGGTTTGAGTTTGAAAAATGTCTTTCGTGACACCAATCCTGGAACTTTTCTGACACACCTCGTATGTTTTTATTTAAATGCTAATTGAGGGGTTTTTTTCTTCTTCCATCAACAGGTGACTCTTCAGCAGACTTCAACTTGGGTCAGTGTCAAATTCTCCACCCTGATGAAAATCCTGGCTGACAAGCAGGAGGTGACAGAGCTCTTCATTAAGGAGCAGCAGGAGGCTGCCATCACGGAGGCGGAGGCACGACTAGCTGAACTAGAAGAGCGCTCCCAGATACTCAGGGAGAGCCAGGGCCAAATAGCAGCTCTACATAACCTCTCTGATACGGAGCTCATCAGGGTTTGTACCTCTGACTTCATGCTATCTTTAGATTTGCTTGTTTGGAGTTTACACACTCCTGAAAGGAGAGCCAGACTGTGAGCTCTGAATTGACCAAGAGCCGAGGTAGAACTTACAGGAACTTTGTGCTGCTTGATGGCAGCAGAAGCATTTTTATTATAACTTGACAAGGTTTAATTTAAAAAAAAAAAAAAAAATCCCATTTCTTACTGCTATATTACACTACACCTTAATGTGGAACTTCTGGCCCATCAGACACTGATAAGACTTTTCTTACACCAGCAACCAACTTTAAGTGGACCTTGTGTCATGTCTTTCCTGTAAATCAAATGCAAGAATGCTAAATGTATGTGTTACTAGTGGTGTGACAGTTTAACCCTCTGAACTCCAAGCAGTTTCTGGACATTTTAGTTGCTCCTGTCACATTTTTACTCACTGTGGGCTCTTTTTTTTTTTTTTTTTTTTTTTACTGCAATATCATGGACCATACCTCTGTGGAAACAGCAAAGCCATAGCTAGAAGTGGGGAGACCTTAGAAGTGTCTCTTCTGCAATATAACACATATTAGGACAGACATCATAAAAAAGAAAAAAACCTTGAATTTCTTTAATTATTTATTTTACAAAAATTAAAATTAAAATAAATACCAATGATACATACAAACAATATTTTACTACTTACATTTTTAATATGCATCTCCTCTCAGTTGCTCAGTTGCAGCTGAAAGTTTCCTGAATTTTTGGTGATGTGATCGTTTGCTGCAGCTGAGTCACTTGATGGCTTCACATTTGTCCCGAGGAGTACAGAATTTCTTAATTCCTTACAAAATGTAGTCCTCCGGCTTCCTCCCACAGTCCAAAAACATGTTGAGGTTAACTGGTGATTCTAAATTGTCCATAAGTGTGAATGTGAGTGTGCTTGGTTGTCTGTCTCTAAGTGTAGCCCTGTGATAGACTGGTGACCTGTCCCGGGTGTCCCCTGCCTTCACCCTAAGTCGGCTGGGAAAGGCTCCAGCCCCCCCTAAGCGGTGTATAGATAATGGATGGATAGTGTGATTTTGCTAAAATATTGCTATTTTAATCTTCAATTTGGTTAGTTTTCTTGAGGAACTGCACACATGTTTAGCTCAAAGGCCATCAGAAACTTGAAAATCCAATGAAACTTGTTCTGTTTATAAGGTGACTGGCAGGTAAATTATACAATTTTGGGGAAGACTTTTAAACCAGCTGACAGCTTGTAGGGTTCAGGGGGTTGAAATAGCAAAATGCTAATAGAGAATAACATGTACAATGTCAGTTCTTCAGAGCTTAGGTAAAACAACCATGTGGATACAACCCAAATGAGTAGATGCATTGGTTTAGTCAGGTAGAGAAAACACATGATTAGAGAATCGTGTCACATCACTTTATTGCAGCTTGTAAGCCAATAATCAAAAGCCCTGTGGCTCGCGATTCACTAGACATCTTTGATGATAGAAACATCATTCAGTGCAGCTCCCAGCTGTCATTCGTGCTAACAGGCTGACAGCTTTATCAGAAAATGTTAATTAATTTTTTTGCCCTTGAGAGAAAAAATCAGTTTATTGTTTTTAAGGAGAGACAGAAAGATTTATCACCACTTCTTAAACTCACCGTTTAAGTTGCACAAGTAATCAATCAGACTGTCAAACTTCATCCACTCAACACAAGACATATAGTCAGTGCAATACTGAACAATGTTGTTGCACATCACAGATTTTCCTCATATGGTGTTAAGTCATCTCTGAAATGCATTAATCTTCACAGGAATCATTGCACGTAGAAATCCCCCGTTTCAAGGATATTCCCACAGAAGTAACGCCAAACCTGCAGGATCGATTAAACGGCGTCACAGATGTCCTGTCCCGAGTCTCTAAGCTGGTGTCGGAGGACCTGGACAAAGCTGTGAGCACCGCCGTGGGTCACGACAAAGACGGTAACCTGCCCTCAGGAGAGACGCTCCCTCTGTAGCCAGATAGCTTGGTTTGGCAGCAGTTTATCCATCACTGTCTGCTTCGTGTTCTCATGCTTGTTATTGGTCTCCAGGTTCCCCTCAGGATAAGAGGCCAATACTGGCTGTTGTTCCCAGTCCAGCTGCTCCGTGCCACCCTGGTGGGAAGGAGGGCCTCAGCGCTTGTAAGTCAATTTATAATTGAGGACCTGTAATGTTCTTCTACCATGTTCAAAGTTTGATTTGACACTTCTCAGTTCCTGCTTTGCTTTGTCTGATTCCTTTCTGCCTCCTTACAGACCGATGCTCTCTGACTTTTGACCCTCGCACGGCCAACGCACACCTGTGTCTGTCGCAGGAGAACCGGAGGGCGGAACACCTGACGTCCGGGCCACGCCCCGTCCCCGCCCATGAAGCTCGCTTCGATCACACCTGGCAGGTGCTCTGCTTTCAGGGCTTCACCCATGGACAACACTACTGGGAGCTGGAGGTGTCCAAACCCTGGGCCTACCTCGGGGTAAGACATCATGTTGTGGTTGTATACTGTGGCTGTGAGGATGAATCACGAAAGCCCTGATATTCACAAAAAGCCAATTTGAGCATCTAGACTCTATAAATAATAACAACTATAAATCCTGAAATCATACAATTCACATTGAAACATCTCAGAGCTGGCAGAGGTTGCTACTTCATTTTCTATAATCAGTGCAGCTTGTTTAAAAGAGAAGTCAGCGATTCTGGAGAAAGACTGTTCATGTTTTACCTCAACAGTCAAACAAACAAACAAACCTCACCTTTCAGTGCGTCTTTAGAAACCTCACCTCACAAATTCTTGTCCATGAATCGCCAAGGCAACGGCACTAACAACCAGGCTGATGTTCCAGCTGTATGCAACGTGGAAAGGCATGTCTCTTTCATATCATAGCACTACGTTTTAAGTTTGTGTCCTTTTTGAGCCTTCCTTTTTCGTTGTTTCTCAATCATATCCCCTTCACAATTCCCCCCATCCTGTGCACAAGCATGAGTGCCTCCTGCTGCTTGTTGGCTGTAATAGTGTCGTAGAGCTGTAACCATCAATCAGTTAGTCGTCAACTGTTAATTACCAGCTTTTTTTTTTTAATAAATAATTGGTTTAATAATAATATCTGTGCAATTCTCTGATTCTAGCGTGTAAAGTGTGATTATAATAATTAAACATAACAGTAATGATTAGCTGCAGGCAGATAGTGTTGTGTGGATCAGTCTGACACACTTTGTTTCCACATTTACAAAGCCAGAGCATACAAATATTTGATATCCTTTCGGTGCATACGGAGAACGGACAGCAGGTGAGTCACTGAATTTAACAAAACTGTATTGAATTAGAATCACTGATTTCCCATTTAAGTCTATAGCCAAATAGTTAGTTTAGCTTTGAATGACAGACTTAAAAACTAAAGTAACTTAAGAGTTCTGCCTGACACACACACAAAAAAACAGCCCAAAACAAATTTGACTTGCCTGTGGAATTGTTTGTATTGCATTTCTGGACGATACATTTTAAAAGTTGGCTTTTTCATGAACATTGGGGTTGCTGTATAACAAAGAAGTACTTTAGTTGTTTCACAGAAATTTAATTCAGAACAGATAAAGTACAGCAGGTCTTTTGAGCTACATGCTAACATCAACATCCCACCGTTGACAAAGCTGATGTCACAGAGCTTACTGAGTTTAGCATGTTTACACTAAACACTAAGGTTGTTTTCCAATACCCATACTGTATCATATGCCAGAACAAGATGTATTCTTTTCCAATACATAGTATATTGAATGCAGTGTTGCCAGAAATAGGTTGATATTGTGGATATAGTCGTCCAGGAAGTCCTACTATATCTGCTCTCATTTTGCTAGATGCAAGCCAGCGTGCTTTTCTTGCCATTCTGACCTACAGTCCTCAGCACAGTACAAATATGTCAGGGTGTTTTGTGCAAATAAAATAGGCTTGAATGGCCGAGAGCACACAGAGAGATGACAGCTCATTTCGCACTTCAGACTGCAAACGATATGTCAGCAAGACTGTTGAAGCTTAGGGCCAAGGATGCCGCTATGGCTCACCTGGTTGAGCTGGTGTCCCATGTTCAGGGGCTATAGTTACCCGACGCACAGGTCATGAGTTTGAGTCCCGCTCATGGCTCTTTCCTGCAGGTCCTTCCCCCCAGTCTTCTTCCCCACTTTCCTGTCCTTTTTTTGGCGGCAAAAAAGCCCAAAAATAACTTTACAAAAAAAAAAGCTTATGGCCTAACACTGTAATAAATTAATATGTCCCCGTTGTATGAATACTGCAAGTAACAGTACATACTTTGTTAGGAAAAGAAAAAAAAAAAGGAACTTAGTCAATTTTTCCTGAGGCTATTGGTTCTGCAGGTATTATGACATAAACCAAAGTGTCAACTAAGAAGGACAAATGGAAATTTAGACCTGTTAGTACCACCAGAGGTAAAGTAAGGGATCACTGAAGTTCACAGCAATCCATCCAGTGGTTTGAGACACATTTCACAGTCAAATTCACAGATGGTTTTGCTAGAACAACAAAATTCACCTTAATCAGTAGGACCTCGTCACCATGGATACTGATGACAAGTTCCATGACGATCCAGTTCAATTCAACTCAGTCGTTTTATTGGCCCAAATGGGAAGCTTTTTTGCAATCAGGCTACAAGATACAAACATCCTACATACATAAAATACACACAAAACAGAAGTACAAAATGTTAAAAAAACATAACCATCCAGAAGTTGGTGAGATGTTTTAGTTTGGGCCAAAATCAGACATGACAGGACAATGACATTACCATTCCTAGTGTTGCTGTGTCATCAACCAAAATATAATCCTAGTAGAACTGTGTACTTAATCTACCATTCATCATCTTACCTTTTTGCAAAATTGTGTTTTTCACAATAACGACTCCAACCACGCTGTAGCTGTAGCTGTGCCTGCACAGATGGTCGTGTCGGTCTGTTGCTGGCTCTCTCCAACGCTCTGTCCAGATTGAAATATGCCAACAGCTGAAATTTTGTACATGCATTCGTGATCCTCATAAAGCAACTCAAAGCTGATGCTGCAGCTATTTCATCCTCTGCCCCACCTCTTGTCAGGTGACCTACGAGACCATCCCCAGGAAGGAGAAGGGCAAGAGGTGCATGGTGGGTATGAACGAACTGTCCTGGAGCCTGCAGCTGGACGAGCATCAGCTCAGCGCCTGGCACAACGGCCGGAGGGAGACCCTGACCGGCCACTCGCAGCACAGCCGCATCGGCATGCTGCTGGACTACGAGGCGGGGACGCTCACCTACTACGGAGACGGGCAGAACAGGCTCCACGCCTTCCACTGTGCCTTCACCCAGGAGCTGTTTCCCGCCTGCTGGATAGGAGAGGGCGTCAGCATCACCCTCTGCTCCACATGAGCAACTCACAAAGGAGGTGAAGACGGGAGCTGAGTTATAGGAAGCACTACAGACCGTGGGCACAAGCTGACTCAACATAGAGGACCCCCCTGCCCTAACCATTTAGCAGCTTTTTAAAGTCTTTTATTTCCTCTTTTACAACAGCTGCCTTCCTATGTTGTTTTAAGCAGAAGAACCGCCTGTGATGGGCTTTACTTCCCCCAAAACCTGCCCCTTGGCTTCGATTTATTCCTGACCACAGCTAAGGAAGTGGTAACTGCTCCTGAAGGGCCTTACCATTTAAGTTCACACTGCTTCATTCTGGTTTGTTTTCTCTTTAAAGTATGTAGAAATTAATTTTCGAGAGAAGTCCGCTTTCCGACCAATCTCAACTAGTCATGTCAGAACTTTGTACTTTCACAACAAAAAAAAATAGTTTTTAGTGTTGCTACTGCGAGACAATGAGCACTTACTACAGGTGGTTGAGCTGACAGGCAAATGACTCATCATGAACAACACTGACTCACAACGATCGACACACATGCTGGATGAAGAGTTGCTAATATCTGAGTGACCGCTCAGATACAGAAAACAAAAGTGTTCTTTTTTTTTCCCCCAGACTTACGTAATGACACGTGTTTGAATGATGAAGTTACTGAGGAGCAGGTGAGTGCATCAGTAACCGTGGATCCATCGTGTTGTGGTGCTATGACTGAACAGACTCCTCCTGCAGTGTTTTAAGTGTAATAGACAGATGTTGGAGTGGCAATCTAGGACTCAACCGTAACAGGCTGACAGGACACTGCAAACCTTTGTTGCTCATACGGTACATTTGTCAGATTAACTGTGCCTGACTCCAGTATACTTTAAAGAAGTAGAATTCTTAAGAGAAGATGGATGGCTTTCTAATATTTGTATGTTCAATGGAAAGCCTCATGTGTTGTTTTTACACTTAAGTTTTAGTAGCGATGAAAGAAAGTGTTCTAGCTTCATGCTTATCATAAAGAAGGAGTGGCATCGATCTAATGAGCTTCTCAAGATGTCTTGTACTTTCACATTTTCTGCCAGAGCTGGTGCTCAATCCTTCCCTTTAAAAAAAAAAAAAATCAGTGTGGTTCCTTTAATGTGTGGATTGAAGCTCCACCTGTTCCACACAGTACATGTCCACATGTAGGAAGTCAAAGCAGCAAAGATAAAGGGAAATTTTTCTGTATTACAAAAAGCCACATCAGGCAAATCCTCCTGGCCATGCTTGAATTTCAAAATTGAACCTTTTAAGTCCAACTATGTAGGCCTTGAGAAATAAAAGCTAAAAAAAAAAAAATGCTCAAGCATGCCCAAACCTCTGTGCTTTTCAGATTTTAGTAGCTTTCGTGCGTGTGCAGGACTCGGCCCACAGCCAGATGTGAGCCAGTGGGTCATGTGTCCAGGACAACAAGCTGCTGCTCCAGTTGGTGAGACTTTGTCCTGTTGAATCCTCCCACCTGTTGCACTACAAGTGATGTGGGTGAAACGAAAATGTTGTGTTGCTGCTCACGACTACTGAGAATACAGAACTGAAATGGAGCAACATTTTATCATCTTGGGATCTTATTATGAATGCACAAATGGTCCTGACTACACGTCAGGCTAAACCTGTGATGCTGACAGTGTTGTGCTGGAATCTGCTGTACTGTCCAGATGGTCTTAGCAGGTTTTTTTTGGTGCCAGTTTTTTTTTTTTTTTTTTTTGAAGATCATGAGCACTTACAAATCATAGTTGTGAACTTTGGTATGCTGAGGTACTTGAGGCTCAGGACATCATGCATCAGTTTTTGGGAAACTGCTGTGGATTTGCACAAGTTGAATTAAAGTGCAGACGAGGACTACTGACTGACTGAGAAATGACAAGCACATTTTCAGTCTTTTTGGCCTAATGGCATAAAAAAAAAAAGAATCATCACCCCTCCTGCTGACTCTGGAATACATTTGTCAAATATGGTAATGCACTATTCTGTGTTCAAAGTGGACATTTAATACCCGTCAATGTGTGACAGCAATACTCTGTAGAAAAAAAAAAAAAAAGACGGACAGTTCTGTTCCACATGAATCATTTAATAAAATCCTATCCAATGCACACATGCATTAGTTGAGATCATGCTTTGTTTTCTTACTTGAGCCATTTTACATTAATTATTCAATAAATTAGTTTGAAATAAATACAGAGCTTTATTTGTATTTTACACACAGCCATAACAGAGCAAACAGGAGCCCGATGCATAGCATTCTAAAAGTGCAAAGAATCAGCCACGGATGTGCCACAGATACAGTATATAGATTAATGACCACAGAGGAAGGAAGAAAGAGTAGAGGCTCAGATACTGAGGTGCTCAGATCAGATCGAAAGACGGACCTCAAACTGGAGAGTTAAGATCACAACCACGGAAAGTAAAAACGATGAGAAACTGCTCTGACGGTTCTGTTTGTATCTTTAATGGTAGAAATGTACATTAGGAGCATGGAAGGTGAAGCAGGCTGGCGGTGAGTCTGACTGTGTTTTCTCAAACGTTCAGGAGCATGACAAAACAGTGAGTGACATCATTGGGTCTGCTCTTGCACATTATAAAGATAATCCGTCCTGGCCGACTGTCCCTGCAGGCCCCCCCTCGCTCTCTGCTCTAATCCAGGATCAGGGATTCACTCGACGCCGCTCTAATCTTCGTGGTCCTCTCGTCCACAAAGCAGACCAGACCACCCTGCAATCTGCTCTCCTTACAAAAGCTATTTATTCTTAAGGTTAGTGTTCTTGAGAAAATATCTCATTTTAAAAGTCTACATATTAAAAGCCTGTACACATAAATCATAGAAAAATAAAAGACTGCATCCAGCTCTTCTCAGACAGGTTAGCAAAGGAATTATTAGACTGAGTCAAGTTTAATACACAGTCATAGAAAATTGTAAATGAGCTTCACAGCATCGCTGAATCTAAAGTTTAAGGTGGCGTATGATTCTTGGGACACTTGCAAGGCGAGAAATACTAAAATAGTTAGTCAGGTTACAGTTTTTGTCAAAAAGCCCCAAAATCCTGACCACTTTGGCCTCAGCAATCTTCTCTCTGTCAAAGATTGCTACCAATACTTCTACTCTGCTACCATCAAGTAAAGGTGCTTCTGAAGAGAATGAAGCTGATTACAAGATAAGAATAGTTACAAGGAATGCAGAGGGTATATAGACTGAGGCAGGAAAGCAATGGAATGAGAAGACTTAAAGGGGATGAGGGGACTAGGAAGACAAGAAGAGGGGATAATGTTAAAAAAAGAATACTTTGTCCTCCTGATGCCCAGTTAATGGAATGAGAAACGAGGTGGTCCAGTAGGATGGAGGATACAGGAGAACAAGAGGAGGGAGGGCGAGATTAAGCAGGTCTACTGGTTCTTCTTGTCTTCTGGAGGAGAGTAGGGGGGAGGCTTGTCCTGCAAACACAGGAGAGGTATGTTCTGAGACAACAGTGCTGTACAATAATCTGTTTTCAGGATGTAAAAGAGACACTATGTCGATGTGTCAGTAAGAATGCACCACACCCATCAGCATCCTCTGCAGCTATCAGCATGTGTGCTGTTGCTCGCTGTGATTGGCTGAACCTGTAATGCTGCAAAGAAAACTATCCTGACATCTGTCCAGAGGCTAATAAAATAAATGCTGCCTTTCAGCAAACTGAAACAGCTGACATCCGATGATGAGCTGCACAAATGCTTCTTTTCACTATCAATAATGTTCTAGTTTTTTTGTTTTTTTTAATGACAATTAAAATGTGAGAAAATCCTGAACCATTCCTCCCAGGGAGCCCAGTGTGATGTCTTCAGGTCGCCTTTTTATTTGAACAAAACTCCAAAGGACAAACACAGTCAGTTTTTACAATCAAATATGAAATGAAAAAGCATTAAAATCTTCATGTTTAAGAAGCTGGAGTCTGCAAACTAAAAACAATCACTGATATAACTGATTACCAAAAGTGCTGGCATTTAACTTTCTGTCCATTAACTAACCAACCTAATGTACCTGCAGAAATTTAGCAAATAAACTGCTCTAAAAATCTCTCGACTGTATACTCTTTGTATTACGTCCAAAATTAATTCATTCTATTATTTCATAATTAACATTGCAGTAAGAACACTATGAATAATGGCTACAGAGGGTTTTTCCTGGCCTTGGGGGGGCGACTGCACAACATTAAGCATGATCAATCTGGGCACAGTAAATGCTGAGTCTGTGGTACCTTATCTAACAGAAATCTATATATTTTCCTGTTATTTCTGAGCATTTGCTGGACAAAATGTCTGTTACACGTGAGTAAATGATGCTCAAAATAACAAAACTGGTTGTTTTACTCCCAGTTCTTATGGTTTTGGAGGTCAGGGCTCCAGACCAACCAGTAGCACTGGTGGACCAACTTTCTTACTTGGTCACACCTCCCCACCTGGTCAAAGGCAAACATATGACTTGTTGAACATTTTCTTAAGGATAGACACTACAATTTACAGATGTTCCCTAAACGCCCCACGTTGGAGGCTGTGGTAGCTGCTGTTGGTATCTGTGGTGTGCTCTGACAGGTGTGTGACCAAAAATGACCTTAAAAATGGTAAACCAGGGTGTTCTCATGTCAGATTTGTCCAAAATGAAATGAGTGATTTTTACTTTTTTTTTTTTACATGCACCCTTTTCTATGAGCGGAGAAAACAATGAATGAAGGTGTGCTCTGTTTTACATTTTTAAGCATAAATATCACAGTTCACTGAAGTTATTAAAGTATTGCTTTCCACCACTGAGGTTAACCCAGCAGCTTCCTGTGCCGGTTCCAGCGACACTAATACAGCTTCATGATCATTGTGCATTCCCACTATTGCGACCGCTTGAAATTTTAACTTGCACATTCGCAAATATCTGGAGCCCTGGAGGTACTGCCTAAAACTCCTCCATGCGGAACAAAAAGCTGTTGTAAAACAGAGATGTGGAGGGAGGCTTACCTGTGGCAGGTACACATGTGTAGGAGGCAGTGTAGCACAGCTGGCACTCGCTGCTGCCTCGGCTGCTTTGGCCTCCGCTGGGAAAGAAAGGGAGAGAAGGGAGGGGGCATTAATTAAATATGGGCTTTGCTGTTAATTCCTGGGATATGTGAGACAAACAGGGCTGATCAAACTGCAGGGCCGACGGTTGCTGGTGCAGCGAGGAGGGGAAAGGGAACGGAGGCAAAATGAGATATGAGAGCGAGGAAGCAGAGGAGGCAACAGTGCAACCAGTTGCAAACAAAGGCATCATTCTGTGGCCTGAGGAGTGACACAAGCTTTATCTGAACTTCTGACATTTAAAAAAAAAATAAATAAATAAAAAATCTGTTATATACTTGAAATCAGATTTACAATCACAACAAAACAATAGCTCCTAAATACTTAAATGTTAACTTCACTTACTAGTTTAGTCCTACCTCTTCAACCCTAAAAGACCCCACAAGTAGTGTGAGCTCACATTCTTATCATACAGTACAAGCTGTGCTTCAACAAGTATTTTGTTGAATACATTTGAAGTATATTGCAATTCATAGTGTCCCTCTGATGTACAGTCATTTAAAAACCATTCCATAGAAATTGTTGACTTTTTTTTAAAAAATCTGGGTCACATAAGCACCTGATTCTCTTTTTGAACAGAGCCAACAGATACAGAAGAACAACACCACAAAGAAAAATTGCTTCTTCAATCAATATTCCTTCTGTGAATAATAAAGTACACCTCTGGCCTCAGAGCTAGTATTGCCCCTTGAACAGAAATAACTTCCTGTAGGTATTTTTGCATAACTGTCCCCCAGTTTCTTACATTGGTTCACTGAAACTGTTCCGCTGCAAGATGTTTGCAAATCTTCTCACAACATTTCAGTGTAATTCAAATCAGAGCTTTGACCACTTCATTCCATAAACCCTCCATTTCTTCTTTCTGAGGCGCTCCTTGGATCTGCTGTTTGCATTATCCTGTTTAAAGGCCCACCTCTGGGTCAACTTAACCTTCCAGACAGATGGCCTCATATTATCTTCAAGCTCTCTCTGGTATGATGCAGGATTCACTGTTGAATCAGTAACTTTAAGTTTCCCAGCATCTGCAGCAGTGAAAAAACTCTAAACGGTAACATTTCCACCATCATTGACATTAATTGCCATTAATGAATTTCCCTTCTGGGATAAAAAAAAAAAAGTATTTTTCATTTCATTTCATCATGCTGCCCAACTGGTTTGAGGTTCTTGGGTCAGCACCAAACAAGTCGACTGTTACTGTGGTCAAACAGCTCTGTCTGTGATTCATCTGTCCAGAGTAGCATTTTGACACCAACTTTGGTTTGTTTGAGACTTCTTTTTACATTAAATGGTCAGCTCTGGGGCAGTGAGTCCTGAACACAAGTTTAAATAAGTCAAGTTCCACCTGTCACTCCCTTAAGAGGTTTTAAACATTTTGCACCACATCTGGAACGCCTAATTCTAATTGTAGGGCTCTGACGGTGTAATAAACGTAACATTTGAACTGTGAGAATTACTACAGAAGGTCAACTTTGTCGTATTTAGGTTTACCACCTTCACCTGCAAACATTTGCTTGTCTAAATATGTCAAAAAGCCAACAATTCCCATGACTGTACTCTTCATTAGACAAAACATATCAAAGGCGTAAAATAAAACGTCTATTTAATTACAGCTGCATTCAATTTACACAAGGCTCTTCTATAGTCCATGCTGGTTCTGAGGAACAGCTTAGTGGAATTCTTAATGGAGCAAAGGCTTTGTTAATGTTTTTAATTCCACTTGTGCGTTTCCTGCTATGACAGCTCAGAATGGCTGCTGTTAAAAAGGCCTACTTAATTACTGCACAGCCTTACTCAACAGAAACACTGCAGAATAATTACAAATGAAGGTCCAGTATATGGTTGTATTAACACAAATATAATAGAAATCATTTGGTTAAATGTTTGCAAAAATAATCAGCCACTTTACAGAATTGAAAATATATTAAGATTTGGTTGAGGCTGCACCTGCAGTGACTGCTGGCTATCATCAGCTAGCTGACTCACCTGCTGCTGAGGAGGGGAGGTCTGGGTCATG